TATATATATATATATATATATATATATATAAAAATTTGTTCATTATTTGAATCTTAATTAACTCCATATATCTGGAAGATCTGAAATACAACAAGTTTTCAAATTTTCTTTTATTCTGGAAATCTAAAATTTCATATAAATTTTCACTGTCATATAAATACTTACTGAATAAAATGTGATATACAGAAATAAGATAAATTAATACATGGAATTTTTTGAATATAGCTGGTGTCGAATGTGAATGATTGAAAAGCAATTCTTCGTCGATTCGTCTTATTTCTGGAATGGTTGCAGTTTTTTTCATCATCCAATCGAAAGCATCCATTCTTAATCTTTTTTTTAATTCTGCACCTATTTCATCTCTAATTCGACGATTATAATTATTCAGCCATCGTATCTGTACAAATATATTGAAATATATTATTGAATAAAAATATAAAATTATTATTCAATAAATCTTCTAAATTATTATGTTTAAATTTTCCATCCTTTTTTTTTCTTCTTCTTTTTTTTAACAAATAAATATTATTGCAAATTCATCTTTTTTTTGGAGAAGAATTTGAGAAGAAATTTTTGGAGAAGAAATGATGATTTATTATAATAAACTTTTAAAACATAAATATAGAAAAAATTAACTGAAAATAATCAAGATATGTATATAATTGTAAGAACAGAATCGAATCAAAAACACCATTAATTATGCAATGAATAATTTGAATATCTTAATTCTATCGCGATAAAATGATCGAATGCTAGATGTTCATAAAAATACTTACGTGAGACGGATTTAACATATTATTATCGATCAATTTTGGTTCATAGGGAACTAACGTAACATCCCTGAATTTCAAGAATATTTCTGAGCCTTTCTAAAAAAAAAAAAAAAAAAAAAAAAAAAAGATATATTTTTTACCAAGAATATACTTTTCAAATTTTTAATTAATATCAATTGATTTGATTGACCTACTGACTTTGCCTGCCACCACTGTTTCAAGGACGTTCTCCAAACGTATACCAAAATCGCCTTGTTTGTAATAACCAGGTTCATTCGATAAAAAGAATCCTGGTTTTAATTCAATAGGTCCGCAAACTTTATCTGATGTTGTAACATGTGCATACGATATACCAATAGGTGCTAAAAATATGAACACTATGATTAGTGCGAATCATTAATAATATTCGAGAAATACTATAAGAAATATAATTTCTACAAAATTCTAAATTCAATTTTTGAATTTAATTAATTGTAGGTATCTTTCTTTCTTATTTCTTTTTAAATTTTAAAAATGTTTTTATTATAGAAATTAATAGAACTCTCTTTGATTGATGATAATCATCATTGGTCAAATAGAAAGAGCGTGATTGAAATATATTTGAATCGTACGATTAATCGTCTATGAAATTGAATCTTAATTTTTCCAAAGTAATGAGACAAACATTCGTGGACAGACAGAAAGTGACCGATCCCATGGCCAGTTCCGTGCAAATAGTCGTAACCGATGTTCCATAATGGCTCTCTTGCGACGATGTCCAATTGATTGGATTTTAAATTGCTTGGAAATATTAAAGAGGACAATTGTATTGCGCCGATCAACACTCTTGTATACGCTTTTTTTTGTTCTTCCGTTGGTGTACCAAAATGAAGTGTTCTTGTCACATCGGTGGTTCCGTCTGAAAAGAGAAGGAAAAAAAAAAAAAAAAAAAAGAATTAGAAAATATTGAAATTCAAGGTTTCAATTCTGGATTATTTTCGCGCAAATTATACAAAATCAACGAAGATAGCAAGGAAAGGAAAGGAAATGGTATAATTAATTATACGGTATATAATTTAACCTAAATATTGCCCTCCTGAATCCACCACCAAGGTGGACGTCCTTCCAATTTTAATATTTGTCAAATTGTTTGGCTCGTAATGGGGAATGGCAGCATGGGGTCCATATCCAGCGATGGTAGGGAAGGAGATGCCTTTATTCTTCTCCTGTTCGTAACGAAACTCGTTCGCCAATCTGGCTACCTGCATCTCATCCCAACCATCTGAATTCAACTCGTATTGCCACTCCATGTATGCGAGGAAATCGCACATTGCTACAGCATCCCTTAAATGGGATCTTCTCATTCCCTCCGCCTCGATTTCATTCTTTTGGGCTCGCAAGCTTAACACTGGCGATGGTTTTGGTAACCGTTTCTCCGGAGGAATCTGTAAGAATCATGATATCTCTTGTTAAAGGTTAAAACTTTTTTTTTAATTCATTGAAAAAAAGAAAATTAGAATATTCGAAGAATTTGTGGCAAAGTTAATATAATGTTTATACATATTCGTTGTTTATTAAATTACAAGCATTTAAATTAATAAATAATCATCAATCGACAACATTTTTGTATACCAATATTTTTTTATTCATTTATGCTTCGATAGAATCGAACTTCCACGAATGTATTCAATACTTTTTTGTAAACGAACATCTCGTTTACTCAATATATTATTACTATAAGACTCGAAAATAATAATTTTTACGATAATTCGCCTTTTGCATCCCTATAAAAATCACATCAAAAATTAATCGATCAATGCCTATTAATCGAATACTATTGCAAGATTACTCGTATATACAGAATGGGAAGAAAACTGCTCCCTGATTTCTGATGCCGCGGGCGTCCAGGCGTCTCGAAGCACCGGCTATCATGTTGGGAAGAAGGTGAAACCGTTCACCACCATGTGGATCGTGGAAATACCGTATTATACACACTGTTCTATCCTATTTATTTATTCACGATATTCACTTCTATGCCTCGATGATATTCGATAACAAGAACATGTGCAATGGACGATGAAGATGGAGGAAATGTTTAGTCTACGTCTATGAACGTGTGTCAGTTTGTCACGTGGGGATCAAGCTAAGCTCAACAAGCTCTACGGAGATAGGAGAACATGTTAGAGAAGGTGTACTTTCGCCTAGGATTATCCGCTCTAATACGTGTATAGTTGAGCCTCGATAAAATGGTGGGAATTATGGAGCTCGTTCTATTGGATAACACGGTTTTTAATTTTTTTTTCATTTCAATGAACGTGAATATATTTTACATATCGATGATTAAAAATTTTCGAGTTAGTGAAAAAGGAATAAATTTTATCAAAGTTCTTTTTTAATCGGCTATGAATTATTTAGATTATTTTATCGTCTGAAATAAGAATTTGATAATTTCAGGCTAGATAATTAACTAAATTTATACGTACAGAGTTGAATATCTCCATAGAAGCACCTGGACTGTAACCGCATCTCGTTGGCAACCATACTGAATTCCAAGCTTGAGACATTGTTCGTAAATCGTACCAAATAGAAGTGTAATTATGCCATCTGCAACATATATGTATATGTATATTAATATAATTATAAAATTGTAAAAATATCAATTAAAAACTATATTTTGAATTATATATTGTCATGTGCATTCAAAATTAATAAATATTCCAAAACTAAAGCATGAAATTCTTTCTACAAATATAAATATTTCTATAAATATCATTGCTGTACTCACTTCACGCAATTTGCATGCGAGCAAAAATCCATCTTTAAGTGTTCCTCTACCGATCGTAAAATCTTGTGTCGTGGTGTGTACAGATGTATCGATTCACCAGTAATTATGGCGTACGCTCTAAGAACAGGGGTGTGTGGCAAATCGTATCCACGAACATTGAACAACCAGGCTATCTCATCGAGTGCCGTGAGGACCAGGGCGTCTGCTTTAGATACCTCCATTTCGATTCGAATCGACTGAATCTTGTCCTGCCATGCTCTTCCGGAATATTTGTCCGGTAATGGATACGCCGGATGTGGATTGTAATTCGGTCGATTGACCTGCCAGATCAAGTCCACCAGGTTGTTACGGACAGGAACCAATCTTATGGACGAATTTGCTGGACACGAACGCTATTGTTAATTCGAAAGCAATCTCGTTTGGGAATGAGGTAAATTTTATGGATAAAAACTATGAATGAAAAAGATTGCACGTGTTAATCGTAGAATTGTGATTAATAATGAGTTTAATATATTTAAGTCTCACTTACTTAATATAAATTTGTAAATGTTATTTGAGATCGTATTAGAAAATACTTTATGATATTTAAAAAAAATAATAAAAAGAATATACAATAGTAAAATAACTCGAAATTTATTTTAAATAATTTATATATTATTTTAATACGCTAGCCATTTTTATTTTTTTAATAAATTTGTCAAATATTATTACATAATGATATATATTCATAAATTTAATGGTCATTTGATATACATATTCATTAATGTGTTTAACGTTTCAGGATTTACTATGATGTTGTAAGTGATAAATGGTAAAATTACGCATATAAATTTAAAATAGATGATTAGTCAAATGTTTTACGATACATTTTATTACCTAATTCATCTTCCCAGATTTCCCAATCAATGGCAGATACGAGTGTTGGATCAGCGCCAATACGTACAAGAGCTTGGTTGTGAAATTCGTGTATTAACCATTCGGTTATAGAAGGAACCTGTAATTTCATTTTATCTTAATTATTATATCATATCCATTCATGAATTTTGATATGAAGAAGAATCTAAAAAATGTAATAATTATATTGTAAGTGTACTTAATAGTTTTTTTTATTTTATATAGGTTTTTATAAACACTTACTACTTTATTTTTTATTAGAATATTATATTTATTAATAAAAGTTATTTTATGTTTAAACATACTAAAAGAGAAAACCACTCAGAAAGCCTCTTTCCCATCCTCCTCATACTGAGTACAAGGAGTGAACGATCATCGATAACTGAGAAATTGAAACAAAGTCAATTTCTCGAGTTTTCCTCACGCTCAGGGAAAGATGCTATGCCTCCTCATCGTGGCTGCATCAACTCTACGTTAGGGCAGAGCTTTGAGAAGATCTACTACAGAAACGATCCTGTGAAGTACGATCTTAGTTTTCCACTCCTATTGCAGCCTTTATATTGTACTTACTACTCAATCTCAACTGTGAGAGAGTGTTTAACTAGTTAGCCACCTAGCGGTATAATTTTGAAATAACAGGTTGTGCATGGAATCGCGTATAAGTATACATAATACGTATATAGTAAGTATATATAGTATAGTATACGTATAGTTTATATGGTATACGTAAGTATATATAGTATGTATACTAATATATCTCTTAAGAATAATTGTTATTATGCAAAATAATTATTAATTTTATTTTACTAATATTATAATTAATGAAAAAAATCATTCATATCTATAATTGATTAAAATTTATAGTTTTCAAATATGTATTAATATAACTTTGATATTTTAGATTAAAATAATTTTATTTATATCAAAATTAAATAACAATATAAAATGCAATAATAATTTTTCAAATAAATAAATTCAAATAAAATTCTAATTAAAAAAAGACGAATTATATTATATTTCATATTATTTTTCTTTTGCAATAGAGATATATCATTCTTTAAATTTTTTTAAATTTTTGAATACAAGTTCATATCTTGAACTTACATCTTCTCTACCACGTTTCATGAGTATCCAATTGCAATCAAGCTGATGATCCGCCTGAATATAATATCTTCCATCAGTCCAGAATACAGCTTTGCTCAAAGTGATAATAGCTTCTCCAGCACTTCCGTAGAATCCAGTGATGAATTCTCTTCTCATATCACGAGGATCTAGAGAATCACTCTATCCAAAATAGATATTGCGATTTAATCTTATACATTCGATATAACATTACATTATTAATTAAAATATTACAAAATGCTAATGGTCGCTAATAAAAAAAGAGCAGCATTCATGATTAGAAAATCACTCGAAATTAAATGAAGCTTCGATAATATCCGGAATATTTTGAAAAGGATAAATATTTATTATTAATCCTAGAAAATATTATTAAATAATATTTTTTGTAACACAAATTTTTCTAGATTCTTATTTTTATGATATTATTTGTTATTATTATTTATTATATATATTATATATTAATATTTTTTTAAAATATTCTAAGATTAAATTAGCATTGAGATTGCTGAAGATTAAAAAAGCTTGAGATGAAAAGCTTTGAAATTATATAAATTCACACGAACTTCTATACCTCCAAAGGGCCCTCGCGGCCATGATAAACCAAGTTCATTGTCTGAAAATTGAAGGATATCGAGAAAAGAATCGTAGAAATAATATTTTAATATTATTATATAATATTATTTATATAATAATTTGCAAACATAAAATTTTAAGTTCAAGATTTTTATATAATAATAAATTTTGTTATGAATATTTTATGTTATTATAATAAATATAATATATTTATTATTTTTAATGTATATATATATGTATATAATATATATATAATATTCACCTGATGTGCGTCATCGGAAGTAACTATATATCCATCAAGAGGCGGTCCTTGAATGGAAGCGACCCGAGTCATTTCCGATCTTAATTGTCTCAATCTTAATGATGTATCTTGTCTATTGGCTGGTTGTTTGTGTGCAATTGCTGGACAATGGGATCTTTTTGCTCCGTTGTAATTCAAAAGTGGCTCGACGATTTCGTTTTGAAAATGGTACGCCTTTGTCAAGCCTAATTATAAATTAAGATTTTTTATTAAAACAAATTTTCTTTCAAGTTTAATCAGTGATTTTTAATGTTAATATATTAATAGTATTTTATTTAATTTAATAATATTAAATATAATTCTATTTTTTATTACAAAGTTTTTATTACTTAAATAATAAAAAAAATAAATTCACAAATTTTCTCTGGAGGCGCCGGGTATCGATCCCGGTACCTCTCGCATGCTAAGCGAGCGCTCTACCATCTGAGCTACGCCCCCGATATGAAAGTCGTGTTAAGGATATTATATAGTACTTATATAATATTTTACAATTACATATATGATAAAAATTTAAGAATAATTTCATTAAATGCATTTATTATATCTATTTATATATTAAATTTTATAATAAGTATATATTTTATATAGTATATATTTTAATATATATTATTTAAGAATACTATTTTTTAAACCATAAATTATCTAATTTGTGATTGTGTAAATTTTGTTCAATTTGTGAAAAATACTTGATATAATTCAATTTAATTTATAAAATTGGTTTATTATTTTAAAAATTGATCAATTTCGAGTATCAATAATAATAACAAGAATAATTTAATACTCATCAGTTTAATTCTATTCAATAAACTAAGAATAAGATCATATTCAAATAAACTAATATTTCTATCTCTATTCAAAATTTTAAATAAAGAATTTATCATATTTATTATTTTCTTATTTCCATATAATTATTTCTATATATTCAACAATATTATTCACAGAATATCTAATAATTCAATATTCTCGAAATTTCCTCATCCCAGAGAAACCATTAGAGGTAACTTGTATAAAAATAGATACTAATATCCGTGGAGTGACACATGCATATCCTGTGGGAATCCAGAGGGTGTGCTGAGTGGTGCTTATATAACAGGAATGCAGTTCATCCGAAGAGGTCAACCATTCCGAAATTCACGTTTCGATCGATTTCAACGTCGACCTTAATATTTTATGATAATAATATTATAATTTCACACGATTTCCTTACGATAATCGTATTTACCGACGATTTTTAATCAACGACTGAATATATTTCCAAACGTCAAGTCGTACTTTATATGATATATACTACGATCATTTAATTTAGGGAAAATCGATATGACGTAAATGATACGAAGACGAAGAATCTTTTTGTTATAACTATATAACGTGCAAAGGGGTAACCAGGTTACCAAATTGTTTAATTTAATAATTTAACGTAAATATCAAGTAATATTAAATATGTTACTAGGAAAGTAGGAACGTCTAGTAGGTGAGTTTGTAACTTTACAATTTTCATCCCCGCGAGTTTTCCATCCTGTTCTTCAAATGTTTCGCATTATCGCGATTTTCCTCCATTTCGGTTCATCAACAAACGTTCTCGATGTTCGTTCTTTCTTCTCTCTGGTTGCATATCTTTTTATCTTAATGGTAAGTTTCGGATGAAATTATTACGTGTCATTCACGTATATGATCTTCATCGTAATGTTTGAGTATTTATGTAAGCATCGAAATTGTAATTCCACGTATTAAGAACGAATCGTAAGATAAACTTTTTGAAATGAAACACGAACGATAATGACACAAAATTAATTTCATTTTTGTGTCATAATTTGTATAATCGATATTTTTAAAACCAAGTTTTTAATAATAATTGTAACGAAATTATTTTAAATAAGATTATTTGTATTAGCTTTTATTTAGAAACAAAATTATATGTATTCGATTATTTTCCTAATAATATTTTAATTTTAATATTCATACAAAAAATTATATATAATTGTACGACACTTTTTATGATAACGATCATTATTCTGTTTAATAGAAAATTACATAATAACTGATTCAAAGATTAGAAATATGGAGGAATTTTTTCAAAAAATAATTTTGAAGATCATAAAAAAAAAAGTGAAATATTGTTCATATTTTCATGAACATTCTTTTCCTAATAATACTTCTAAAAGCGTAATAATACCTTTGTGCTAGCGTAACTGATTGCAAATCCATTACGACGTAATGAGAATGCACTTGAAAACAAATATTTTAGGATGCACGACGTTAGACTCGTCGTTCATTTCATCCCGATAATTCCGGAAACGTTTTCGCTCATCAACAATGGAGGATGTCAATTATCAGGATATCCGATATTTAGCTATGAAAAATCATCGTCATAAGATTATTACGTACGATGGAAAAATTGTCTCACGGAATTCTGAAAAAATCATCCATACTCGTTTTACGATTACGATCACGTTTTTCGCGTCGATTTACGTAATCTATTTTTCCGCATTCTTGTTTTTTTTTTTTTTTCTTTTTTAGACAATGCGCATCGTCACAGCGCGCATCTTTTATATATATATATAAAATCACGTTATATGTAGCAGTCGAAGTTTAAAATGTGGCTGTCCAAGTTCCTGTTTTATGGATTTGCGATTGTTTGGGTTTGTGCCGAGCAGGATGTACAACTGAAGATTCCTCAGGGTTTGTTGAAGGGTTTGAAAACCGAAACAGTTTTTCACAACAAGCTGTATTACAGTTTTAAGGGCATCCCCTATGCGAAACCGAATGTCGGCTCGAACAAGTTTCAGGTAAGTATAGATATTTTTAATTAATTTTAAAACGATCTTGATGTGAATTTTATGATAAATTAGAATTCTTCTAACAATTCTCCGTATAATTAAAATAATTACGCATGATACAACAAAATGGGAAGAAATGTTAAAATTTAATTTCTTGATTAACAATATCTTAATAATTTTCAGATATCAGAACCAGCTGAACCATGGGAAGACGTGTACGATGCAACCACGCATCGTTCTGCTTGCCCATTCTATTGCATGATCAAAAAGGGAATAATCGGTGACGAGGATTGTCTCTATCTGAATGTTTATACTCCGGTTCTGGACAAAGAAGCGCGTAAAGCTGTTATGGTATGGATTTATCCCGGTGGTTGGAACAGTGGCATGGGGGACGATATCTTGTTTGGTCCAGATTTCTTGGTGGAGAGAGACGTGGTGCTTGTTACATTCAACTTCAGACACGGGGCACTTGGTGAGTGGCACGCGTGATTTCAACTTAAGGAATTAAAAGTAAGGAATATATTGTTGAAAATTGATATTCATAATTTGTGTTTTTTTATCGCAGGATTTTTGAACACCGAAGATAAAAGCGCTCCCGGAAATGCTGGAATGAAGGATCAAGTGTTGGCGTTGAAATGGGTGAAGGATAATATACATTACTTTGGTGGTTGTCCTAACAGAGTAACTATTTTCGGTGATAGTTCAGGTGGTGCTTCTGCTCAGTATCACATGTTATCTCCCATGTCTGAAGGTATATTTATCAAAGTGCATGGAAAATTAAAATTACAAAAATTATTATATATATATATATATTTTTTTTTCTCTTGGAAATGTAATGTAATAATAATATTGCAAATTGAATTTTAATTATATTTTAGGTTTGTTCAAAGCTGTTATACAGCAAAGTGGGACAGTGCTCAATCCATGGGCGATAACTTACAATCCAAGAGAACAAGCTTTTATGTTGGGTGAAGCTTTGGGAATAAAAACTACAGATTCTGAGGAATTGGTCAAAAAATTGAGCGAGTTCGATGTTAAAGATATCATTGCAGCAAGTGGTGAAATAATGAAGAAACAGGTAAGATATTCTGCATTCTTCCTTCTGATCTTTTGTATTGGGCAATCAAATTTTCCATATTTATGAAAATATTAAAACGAACGAGAAGAAATTATTATTGTAATTTTTATATAGAAAGTTTGATTATTTATAATTATAGAACGTATTATCTGGGCATATGAATGCTTTCGTTCCATCCATTGAAGTCGATCTGGGACAAGACATATTCCTCCCGACTGATCCTTGGACCCTGTTAAAATCTGGAAGAATCGCAGATGTGCCCGTGATGTCTGGGATTACAGCCGATGAATGTGCATTTATGGCACAAAGTATGTGAAATTATAGAAAGTATTTACTATTTTTAAATTATGCATTTTACGACAAATTACTCAATTAATATCGTCTTAAATAACATCTTTATAAATATATTAGCTTATATTTATTTTTCCAATTTTTCAAAGTGTTAAATACCATTTGAATGTTATAGATATGATAGATAGAATCGAAGTATTAAACACGGAGCCAGAGCAATTTTTACCAGACGATTTGAATTACACCGATTCGAGTACGAAGAAGGAAAATGGACAATGTTTGAAAAAATTCTATTTTGGGGAGAAGCAAGTGTCGAAAGATAATTTGAACGAATATATCAGGGTAATTATAGTTTGTCGAATAAAAAAATGTTTCTATTTTTTAAAAATTCTTTTTAAAACGTTTTATAGATGTTGAGCGACATTTTCTTCGATGCTGGAGAGTTGTTATCGCTTGATATCATGAAGAATCGAATTTCGTCTCCTATTTATGAATATCTGTTCTCTTATGAAGCGCCAACTGGTTTTATGAAAAGTTTATTTGGTGTCAGCGATGGTAAGTTTTCTTCTTCTAATAAAATTATATAAAATTCTATTTTTTCTTTTTTAAACATTTTCAATTTGTTCGTCCAAACAGGAGTTGCACATTCCGATGATGTTGGTTACTTATTTTATTCCAAGATTTTCAAGAATTTACCCGAACCAGATTCCTCAGCAGAGAAGATGATAAATATTATGACCAAAATGTGGACAAATTTTGCAAAAGATGAGTTAGTAATGCTATTTTTATATCAAATATCTAACTGTACATTAAACAATTATTGATAAAATATATATAATATATTTTATATTTATTAGAAATCCAACATCGGTATTAGATGAAGATGTGACGGTGAATTGGGAGCCAATGGGAAGTGATAATTATTATCTTAACATCAACGAAGAACCAAAGCTAGAGAAAAATCTAATGAGTGATAAATTCGATTATTGGAAAGAGAAATATAAAAATGCCATGCCATAAAATCTTTAATATCAATATA